TAGAAAATCAAAGCATTTAGATAGTAATCAAGCTACACCGAACTTTCTACAATTCTTTTATAGGTCCTGGAAAAGGTCGACGTCCACTTTTTTCCGAAAAAAAAATAGCTAAAATCAGAGATATTAATTAAAAACTCTTAAAACGCTAATTTTCGCCCCTATTTTCCCGAGTGGCAACAGTGCTGATATCAGCAACAATGTCAACAGTGATATATCAGCAACAATGACTGCGTGCCATTGTTGTTGATATAATGAGACAGAATTAGTTAATTTTTCTATCGAAATTTTTATGTATATATACCATATGATTCTACGATTACGTAGTCAGCTGTGGTACATGTATTGAATATTACTCTGTTTCTTTGGTATTTTTTATGCATTACAATGAAGCATCATATTCTTTATGACGTGTAATATGCTATTATACGAATTTTCAAATGATGTCATGAGTAAAATAATACATTACTCTCAATCTATCTTAACTGGCATCGGGTACTTCCGCTAGTATATAAATATATAAAAGGGGATGAATTTATATACTTTACTATTCTTGTCGTATCCAGTAGCAGGCGTCGGTTTAATAATATAAAAAAATTTTGACAAAGAATTGCAGCTTATATTAGAAAATGAAACAGACACTCTAAAAATATACTGGGAATTTTTTTTTCCAAGAAATGGTAAAATAATGCTGAGCTTACTAATGCAAAGAAACTACATGAATTTCTATTACAGTCACATCTGTGATCATCCGGAATGGTGGTAGAGTGGTCGCAGAAGCTGAAATATTAGGAAACTAACCAGATTCAGTGCTTGCTTTGTTGTCCCTTGAAAACACAAAAGCTTCTACAGAGCCTGTTCTGAAAGTAGTAGGACTGAACATTTTTAAAAAAAAATTAATTCACAGTTTTGACACATCGACTTAACAGCTTTCAAAATGTGCTTCTTCTGCATCAACACAGCGTTTCCAGCGACTCTGCCAATCACTGAAGGCTCCATGGAAAGCAAAAACTGGAAGGCTCTTCAGCTGCTCTCTTGAATGGCCTGGATCGAGCCGTGGTTCCATCCTTTCAAGACCTTTTCAGTCGGGAGAAGAGAAAGAAGTCTGAAGGAGCGACAGTTGGGCTGTAAGGTGGTTGGGAAAGCTGTGTGATGGCAGGTTTGGTCAGGAAGTCCAGAACAGCAAAGGCGGTGTGGCTCAGCGCATTGTCTTGATGAAGCCTCCGTAATCTAATCCAGCGATTGCTGTACGGACGCGGGTGACTCGTTTTATAAGTCTTTCAAATACAGGTACAGCCCAGATGTAGCTCCTTCAGACTTCTTCCTCTTCCCTTGACTGAAAAGGATCATTCAAGAATCCGTAACGAGAGAGATGAAGAGCATTCCAGTTGCTGCGTTCCAGAGAGCCGTCAGTGATTGGCAGAGTCGCTGGAAACGCTGTGTTGATGCAGAAGGTACATATTTTGAAAAATATTAGGTCAATGTGTCAAAATTGTGAATATTTTTATTTTTAAATGTTCAGTCCTACTACTTTTAGAACAGACCCTGTATAATGCAAATAAATTTTGGCGTAAGTAATTAAACTGAAGTTTAACTTAAAATTTATTTAAAGTATGGAAAGTATGTTAAAATTTAATTACTAATACATAAACGTTTTCAACTTTTGCCATCAAACTGGCGCGGTGGTGGGGTAGCCGGCTGCCACATTTTTTAGCCCTAGCTCGAATCCTGGATAAAGCATGGCTATTTGTGAATATATAGTGCCTTTGTAACAAGGGGCTTTCAAAATACTGTCAAAACGAAAGTCCGCTCGAGAAGCTGGTGGAAGGGGAAGAGGAGTGGAAGACCCTCAGGTCCGTTTCCCTGGGGTTCTCCCTCAAAACAGAGACGGAGCTGAGCAAAGTCGAGCTATCCTCTGTAAGGTGCCCAAGACAGGCTGCACTATAAATGACAGCCCAGTGCAACATTTTATTTAATTAAGTAGCGATCACTTTCTGCAAATTTCAGGCAAATACTTTCATTTTCTCGCACAGACAAAACTTTCAGAATATACATAAAGGAAAGCAATTAATTCATTTCCTATCTTAAGAGCAACCATTTTTTATCTGGACCTTTTTCCAAGCCATCAAAAGTTGTTAGTTTAATTTTTGATACTAACGCAATGCCTCCTGAAATTACAGTTCACAAAAAGTAATAACTTTTTCAGACCAAACAATAATTGCTATGTCATAATTTTCCGGTTTTGTTCCAAAAAAATATAAACAAGTTCCCGGCAAAAGTTTTTCACAACTATACAATATTTGTACGACGGTAACTAATTAAAAGCATTCTGCAGTGATCGTAGAGACAAAGCTTTCATTATTGATTAGTAAGTGTCGAAACCAATTTTCGCGCCAAACAAAAACAAGTTATAATTCGAGAACGAATTTTCCTTTCGATTACTTTTTACCTGAAGAGTACCTGAAGAGAATTAAGATTTTTACCTGAAGAGGTTTCGTTCAGTTAAAAAAAAATTAATCCATTAGTCAGTAAAACGTACTATATGTAAAGCAATCCGCAATATTTTTTATATTTGTGGTCGTGTATCCAAAATTAGCCCACAGTCAGATTTTCCAAAAACAGCGTTCGAAATTCTTCTGTACCTTTCGATTTCCACGGCTGTGTCACTAAGCTGTTTACAGAACTGAAAAAATGTGCTAAATTTAATGCAACAGTACAACCCAATTATCAGAAAGCAGATTTTCACTTATAATATCAGAAAATAGTTTTTTGTTTTTAATTATTTGAAACTTCGCTGACTCTAGACACAAATTTACGTTTTCTAGCAAAAACAGATCTTATACGAAGACGCTACACTGCATAATTATGCTACCAAATATTAAAATAATGTGCATCTAATGTAGATAACACCTAAATTTAGGGGGGGGGATGATCAGAAGAATATTTTATGCATTCCTTGTTCATCTTAATATTCAAAAGAGAAAATCTAATTTTGACCCAATGGTTATAGTTCAGTTTTATCGCAGTTTATCAGTTAGTTTTATCACAATTTATTGTTTCATAATCATTAACAAGTTGTTAAGATAAAAGGGATTTCGACATTCCGGAAATGAACTTGCTCAACTTGATAAAGGATAGTTAAATGAACTAGATCAAGCAGTACTGCAGCACATGCTTGATCTAAAAATCTACAGCAAACCATGCTATCTTCGAAGGTAAAACTTGATGAATTAAAATTAAAAGACAAAATTATGCTTTAATTTTGAGAATAATCATGAATAGCCGGTAACTCAACAAGGTTTGGTTTAATTAACTATGAAAGCATGCGAGCGCTAGGGCCTTACACGAAGGCATCCCTGCCCTTAGGCAAATAGCTGGCTCGTATACACGTTACACATGATGGTGTATTAGTGTTGGTGTATTGAGAATACGGCAGAGCACACGAGGGCTATCAGCCTAAGGGGAGGGATGCCTTCGTGGAGGACTTTCTAAGGGAAACCTGCTCGTATACACGTTACACATGGGGAAACCACGAAAACGCCCATGCAGCCAGCCCGTTCGCGGGATTCGAACCTCGGACCGAACTACCAGTGTTCAGCGATTTTACCGCTCGGCCGCTGGTGGGCCGCCGTTACACATAATGGAAAACCACGAAAACGTCCAGGCAGCCAGTCCGTTTGCTTGCAATCGAAGCCAGGTCGAAACTACTAGTGTTTAGCGATTTTACCGCTTGGCTGCGGATGGTTTTATCTCAACAAGGATATCTCCTTGTTATAACAATACGTGTTTACCAGTATATACCAATTATATACTGGTAAACACGTATAGTTAATAACATTTTGCATTACATTAAAGGTAAAAGCGAACGACAAGCTTCACAATAACGCTGGTCGACATAAGGAACAGAATTGGATAAAAATAAGCCTGTATTAGTTATTTTATTCTCAAGCTGCTTACCGTTCTCAGCTCCGTTACTAATACCATGGCTCAGTGAGCCTTATATATTATTAAATTTAATCAGTATTCAGTCAAAGTGTTTAAAGGAAATTCACGCAACTGCGCTGAAACAGAGTAAGTAGCCATCCCGGAAGAAATGGGTGAACTGTGTATGGTAATCGGAAAAAAACATCGTGACATTAAACTAACTATTTCTGAATTACGTATTTCAGTCAGAAGTATTAAAGTTTAATTATTAAAAAAGTTTTATTCATTTATTTATTTACTTTTTATAAAGGTATGAAAACATTATTATTACTATTAACTGGTGCAGTCCCCAGTCCACCTAGCCGGCATAAGCCGGCCATATAACTAAAAGGACGACCGGCCGATCCAACCAAAAACGAGGGAGGCAACAACCCGGCTGAGCCCCCCCCCAAAAAAGATCAAATCAACAAAAAGGATGAAACCATCATACGAACGTGATATTTCCCGTGTATAAGTATTCTTTGGGCTACGACTTACTGATTTCAAAATAAACACTAAGATTCAGGAATTAACCCACCTTTTCTAATCTACAACTTAGCAAATTAATACTAACCGTTTGCTATTAATTTGCAGGAAATTAAGTATTTAAGCAGACAGTGATGAATGTTCAGTTTTGGGGAGAAGTTTCTTAATTATAAAAATAATATCAAATTAGCTATGCATGTTAGAAAGAAATGTTAACAAATTGCAGCAAAGTATCAGAAATAAATACTTATAGAGGGAAAAAAAGTATTTTTTTAAATTCAGTAGCATTAGGAGACAGTATGGAAGGCGTAATTAAGAGTTATATAAAATAAAAATACTTTGGAAAAAAGTCAGTTTTAAATTCGCACCCTGTAGTAAGTTTTCACGCTGAAATATTTAAATCCATTCCATGTCTAGATTCTGCAAGATTCAAATAAAGTAGATAAGAAGATAAGAGAAAAGAGGATCAAAAGAGTGTTCGCTTTTGTACTCACTCTAAAGAATAAAGTTTAAAACAGTAAATTATAATATAATAATAAAAAATCCCTCTTTACCTGTGCGGCATCACAAAACGAATCTTTACTTCTTGCTCCAGTTGGAGGAGAAGAATCACTAGAAGAAGATTCTTGCGCCTTGGGAATGCATGCATGACGTTTCTGTCTCAATAAAACTGGCGCGGAAACAGATTTGAGATTCAGTTCATTGATAACTAAAACTGTAGGCTCTATTGGTTGCGCAGGACTGCCTGTAGACTTATTTTTTCTCATAACTTTAAGAGTAGATGGAAAAGAAGCTGATTGCTCAGGATTATATGCTGCATTAGAATCTGTTAGGGAAGGATTGCTGGTCAATGATTTCACAGAAATCGTTTCACTAGTCCCTTGTTCTTCGGAAATATCTCCCAAAGCGGATCCACGCAAAGTACTTTCACTGTTCCGAAAAGATCGCCGGGTATTTTGAGATATATTGTCCTCAGACGGTTTTGCAAGATTTGTGCGCAGAATGGGCACTTCAATGGCAAGATTAGCATCATCAAAGGAGTCACTAGACCCAGAGCAAGCTGATAAATATAAGCTGCTGCTGCCACCGGAGCCAGGTGTTAAAGGCTCACAGTCTTCATCTGACGAAATTCCAAGTGAAGAGGATGATGAATTATGATTTTTTGACCCCGATTTGCAGTTTGAACAATCGGCCACTAGAAGACTGTCTTCAGATCCACTGTTACCATTTGGTAAATCCCAGTCGCTACAGTCACATTCGGTAACCCACGTGAAGCTTGAGCTGAAATGATAAAATATGAAGAAAAGTTTTCAAAATGACAATAAACTCACAAATTAGTTTAGTTAAAATATGGAACTACGCAAATATTTATGTATTTATTTCCAGTATATTGAATATAGTAAATACGTAAAACTTAAATTTGAATACAATTTTAGCAATACAATACGTAATATATTCAAATTCGGAAACACTGCAACGTCAAAGAAATCAAACATTTCAACGCCTAAACAGAGAAAAAGAGATTTTAAAGCTGATATCTCTTATAAGCCTTTAAAATGAAATATCAGCCTGAACAATATACAGCCTTTCTACCCAAGTAATTTTACTAGAATCGAAATTCTGGAAAAAAAATTTCGAACTTGATAGCATTTAAAAACATTGTTAGTACTTATAAATAACTTATAAATAACAGTCCTTATAAATAACAGGAATCCTCAGTATTTAATTTCTTCATCTCCCGCCATTATTAGAAATACTGACGAAGTGTGCAGTTTTCTCTCTAGTTTTAACAATGGATATTCACATTCTTCCTTGCATGTATACTTAAATCTGGTTTAATTTCGATGCAAGGTTTTATACGCATAAGGTTAGATGAGTCTTTCCGCATAAGTATGTTGTGCAGAAGAGAAGTATTATCTTGAGGTTTTTTTCTTTTTTTTTTTTTTTTTTTAATTCTGTTTATATATTCCTTAACACATAACCAAAAATCAGGAAGATTTCAAAAAACGTTTCAAGGAACCATCGTATCCAAAATGTCCGTATCCGTAATGTAAAATAAACTAGACTTCCACTGAAACAAAATGCTTCTTTAACTTATTTCTTAATAGTTTAGAAACATTACAATAACGAATTACATCAGAATGTCAAAAACATAACTTTATGTAGAGACAGAAATTCAAAAGCAGATTCCATAATTTAAGTGGTATTCTTAGAGACAAATCACTTTGAGTTTCAATTTTTGATGAATTTTCCATGATACAGCTCAATAGCTTTCCAGTTTAAGTCTGGATAGTTCACGATTAGGCTGTAGAGAAAAACGAAGTACTGCGCGGAGTAGTTAACATTAGGATTAACGAACACGTGTATATTAATAGTGTGGAAATGCCTCCTTGTGTTATTTATCATCAAACATTGTCAAACCTGTGACTCTATAAAGCTTCGTCGGCATTTAGAACTAAATATAAAAAATGCTTACACAAGTCAAATATATAAAAAAGAAGGAAAAAGTTGAAAGAACACCAAACAAGCCCGGGGTTAATTGGAAGGATGACAACTCTCTCCAGTAAGGTCGTTTTGAATCATATCAGGTGTTGTAAAAGCACAGTCTGCAGAATCTCATACGCTATAATAGAAAATTATGTCGGGCTCTTTAAACCTAAGTATGAGCTCAAGACGAAGTTGAAACACTAATAAAAAATCTGATTTGTGCGAAAAGCGACTTGAATTTAGTAATGGTTTTGAATCATTATCCACTTTTATCAACTTCTGGATACTTTTATGATATTCTGTTGCGCACTTAAAACATATAATTGGTTGATATGATTTAAGTAAAGCTGTGCGGGCTATCTTGTTCAGTCGCCGGGAACAGAACCTGAGACGAACTGAGCAGTGTTCTCTGGCTTTAGTCACACTGCCACTGGCGGCCTAAAGCACCTGAAAAATATTTCAGGATTTTATTTCGTTCTTCTAATCAGAAAATAACTAGATAATGGATTCATTACATTTAAAAAAAATCATGAAAAAGATTCATGACCTCTTCAAAACAGGATCGAGTTCAGTCGTCAAGTTAATTCCTTCAGAAAATTCTACGTTTCAATAAATCTCCTTTAATAAACAACAGCAAAATATGAAATGATAATATTAAACATTATTTGGAGATTTAACATTTTCCGAAAATGGTCGGATCCATCGTTTATTTCACAGACTCGTTAACAAGGAAGTCGTCTAGATTGTACCACATGAGTTGAACCGATACTACACTTGCAAAAGAAACAAAACTAAGGCCTTAAACGAGAATTTCGGAAGCCGCGTCCTTTATGCGCACATATATGGACCTCCGTTAATCACCATACCATCCCGCACGGCGTTTACTAAGCTATAGATATCTTGAAATATTTTCAGTATTCTTTCACAGGCTGTTGTTTCTGACTATACCACTCCGAATTCGAGAAGCTTTTATTGTAGAGAAAATTAGCCGTTACACCAAAATACATAACTTGCGTTTGTATTAACCACCATCGCCCCTCTTGTACATGAACTGTTTGATGAGTTTAGCACATTATGCCGTAAAAAATAATTTTTTCAGCTCAGATACAAGTTATATTTCTGATTCATCACCATAGTTTTGTCTTTCGATAAACCTGTAACCTCTTTCATCTTTTAGCAAGTGATTCACCCCAAAGTAATTTTCGAAGAAAAGATTCCAAAATTTCGAAGTTATATATCCAAAGAAATTCTGCTTTTCTAATGGTAATAAATATAATTTAACTTTCTAAAGAACAGATAAGATACTTAAATATATACATTAGGTTTTTATACTTTAATATCATTACCTTCTACTTAGTGGCACGGGAGTTGTTTGAGTGACAGCATCTTTATTTTCGTTGTCATCTTTGACATCAGTGGAGACATCAGCACAAGATGGTGGCTGGTATGAACCATTCTTAACATTCTGAATGAATGCAGTTAAATCAGCAATACTCTGCAAATAAACAATAATCATTACCAGCACTTAAAATACATCACGCATATTATCCTTTTAAAATTTCGTAAATGCAGATTGAGATTTTAAAGAAGGGCTCAATATGAAAAATTCAGGTCATTATTTTAAGGTTATCTTAAACAATTTCATTATATCTACGAGAGATATTTTTAGGAAGACGAGAATATTAACTTAGGGCGACTCGTGAGAATTTCAAACATCGGTTAGTTGCTTAAATTAATTAAGGCAAAGTACGTGAGGCTGGATGGCTAATTCAATGACGCAGAGCATACGAGAGCTATATCTCCTTAAGGGGAGGATACCTTTGTGAAGGACATTTAAGGAACCTGACTTCCATTTGCATTGCATACGAGAAAAAGAAGAAAAATCCAAGCAGGCAGCCCTTTCTCGGAGATATGAACTCAAGTCGAACAATTGTTCAGCAGTCTTATCCATTTGGCCACTGGTAGGTTTAAATGGCATAAGTTTTCAAATGAATACGGGAAAAATGGTAACAGAACTGAGGCAGATGTGTGAAGCATGAACGGAATCGAACGTAAGTTTACCAAATATATGAAGAAAAATCTCTGTAATGGGATTTAGTAACAGTGCACAACAACGCATGGATCTTTAGAATAAAAATTTTTAGCAAAATGAAAAATTGTAGGTGAAAGCAAAGCATGGGCATCCAATCAGTACCTAAGGTTATTGCAAAAAGCTCAATTTGAATCTATCCATCATAAAACTCCTAATTATGAATGACAGTACCCAAGAGGATTTTCATAGTTCTCTTTCCCAGCCAGCAACAATTTGCTGTGGAATACGAGCAGTTTGCATGCCCCTAAGAGGCTTAGAAACTATGAACATAAATATCCAAGCCTAAGACCTGGACTCGAAACCAAACACTTCGGCATAGAAACTGCCTTCACAAGCCACAAAAATTTTTAATAAAGAAACATATTCTTATAAGCGGATATAATTCTCAAATATTGTGTTTCAATGAATGAATCGTAATCGCAGGACCTTTTCCTAAATACCAAGTAACAAAAGAAAAGTTGTTTTTTAGGAAAGTGAATCATACTCTTGAGTTTATGCACTATAACTGGACATCAAAAATACATACAATGGTTCAGTCAAGACACGAATCGTTGGATCCTAACTTTAAGCAAAAAATAAATTTTACCCATGAAAGGATAAAGTGAATGTATCAACTGAAATGGTTTCAGCTTCTTTCAGCGTAGATCAACCAGTCGCTTAGAGTAAATATAAAGGAAAAGAATAAGAGGTATTTTAGAATTTCAGTTATACGGACTCAATTTTATTCGAGCAGCATCATCCGTAATCATATATAGCCGTATCCTATCATTTCTTATTCATTCCATTTCCGCATTCGGAAATAGCATATCGATATTCTTCTCCTACAACAAGTGAAAATAACTTATTCCATTACTGTTACAATTCATCCCTCTCCATTGCTTTTTCACACATATAAAGGCCAGCTCTTCAGTGTAAAACAGTATACTCAATCTCGATTATAACTAGCACGAAAATAACGAGATCACAACGTAACAGACTCCTTTTTTAGGTTAAAATAACATGCCGAACAAAGATTAATTTAGAAGTAAAACAACAAAAATTAGCATATATATTTGCAAATACAACGCTGAGTTTTGTTGTTTCACTTCTAAATTAAACAAATTAGGCAATGAGTCCTCATTTGTTTTCCCATAATTAATTAACTGAAATCCAAAAAGCCGTAAAAACTATATTTTGCAAATATTCGCATGCAGGTTACCTTCATCAAGTTATAGCAAATATTGGTTATAACGAGAAAAATTTTGCTATTTCATTGATAATCGGATGTTCAAATGTTTCTCGAATTTAGACTGATATTGTAATTCTAAGTTTCTACTCTTTCATCTTGATCTGCAATATATACTATACATAGCTTTATAAAATTTAAATTCTCCTTCAAGAGCAAACAAGAACAGGTGAAATGTGCAGTCAATTTTGTCTTTTATTTCTTTATATGAGAAACAATTGCTATGAAAATGTACAAAAGCGGGAAAGCGGAACTGTTCCAAGTTCCTTTCCATTTTAAAAAAAAATTATTATGTAGTAAAACAGAACTGAAAAAAATGCATTATTTTAGTGAATAGATTTATATTTTCACAACGTAGCTTTATAAGATTAGGAATAGACTAGAATTTACACAAAGACCACCAGAAACAGATTAAAAAATAGTCGGTTATTCTTAGAAACGCATACTACCGTGAGACTTCCAAAGATATTCGTCAATTTATATTTATAAAGTATTTTCTCCCTCCGTCCAGCATGCCTTCACGGTGTAACGGTAGCACACTCGGAAGCGTATTCGAGAGATCCAGGTTCGAATTCCGGTGAGGGCATTGCTCATTTTTCATGTTTCTTGCTTCAAAATAACCTAATGACTAAAAGTTGAATCCGAACCAAAAAGGTGGTGGACGATAATTCGTCACCAAAACGGTTTGGCGACTGTGTCCCATAATCTCCAGTTGCCCTTTAAAAGAGGGAGGTAGGGTATTTTCTCCCTGCTTTCAGGATGCCTTCGTGGTGTAACGGTAGCACACTCGGCGCGTATTCGAGAGGTACAGGTTCGAGTTTCGGCAAGGGAACTGTACACATCTCCTGCTTAAAATAGCCTAATATCTCTACACATTTTACAGTGTAGATTCATATAAAATTTACAGCAAGGGTGACTTTTTCACGAGCTTCCATCTCCCTTACGAGTGACACCATCTAACTACATTTGCGCGGGAATAATGTAAAATAAAAAATAATAATCTAGTAATCGATTTTTTAAAGCTGAAGCTAATTTAAGATAAAGCATACAGAAGGTATATTTTTTTATGGCTGAATATACCCGTAATATAAATTTTCCAGTCATTCAAACAATTTAGATTTCGGTGCAGAAAACAACTGCAAAAATTACGAACCTGAAACCCAATTTTCTTTAAACCTATCTTTCTATACGGTAAAAATGATCGTACATCAAGTACCTATAATACCATTGTCATCTTTATACAAAGAATTTAATATTTCCAATTTTCCTTTTGATTACTTTAGAAGCATATGATCAAACACTGTATCAGACAGTACTACAAGCTAAAGCTAATGACCAGATAAACGTCACACACACAAAAAAACCCCTCAATCATGATTGCCTACACGATCAATACCCATTTAGATACAAATCCACAGTAATGAAAGTTCACATCGATAAAAATAATTTTAAAATAAATAAATAAATAATAAAATAATAAAATGCATAAGTAAATAATTTTCCAATTATATTAAATTTATACAAAGCAAATTTTTATTTTAAGAAAACATCGCTTTTCATGTGTTTCAAAATAGAAATAAATTCTTAAAATTACGCATTTTGTTTTGATTTTTGTAAACCTTTCAATTAACTTCATATTTTAATTTTGAATAAGTCTGATAAAGGGAAGGGTACAGCAGATTTTGGCCTCACCGCATTCTTCGAGATCTACAAAATTATGAAGAGTGCGAACTGCCTGCAAATATGCATTATCCACAGATAACAATTTTTACTACATTGTAAATTAACATCTTTGTCATCTGAGGTTTTATCGGGAAGGCTTCGATGATAGCAATCAGGTAGTTAAAGGATTATTTAATTATCTGATAGCTATTCACTTGTTCATTCTACCGTAGCCGAAGAACATTCGTGATTTCTTTTCTTTCGCCTCCACTAACTGAAAGGAGTAGTCAGACAGCAGAGTCTTGTTTAATCGCTTCACACCCTTCCAAACTGCGGAAAGAAATTGACAGTATATTGCCCATGCTTGGTCAATGTCGGCTTTCATGCAAAGCTGTCAATAAAGAGTCGCTAAAGTAATTGGTACTTACTTTCACGGGGCAAGGGTCGATTGGAAGAACCGTTAAAAGTCGGTGAGAAATAAATCGGTCTTTTGAAGAATTTCAGAAATTTGAATAATTAATGGAAAATTCGCCTGTAATTAATCGTAATCCGAAATCTTATTTCTCGCACAGAATTATCTCAAGGATTTGCTTAACTTCAAATATTTTTTAAAAAATTGAAAAGTGTCGAAAATAAAATTATCACTAAATATGATTTGGGAATATTTGTTAACGATTTTAAAAGGATAATCCATAATGCCAATAACAGATTTGCAAACGTGCAAAATATGCAAGTTCTTGATTGGATTGCGTCGCTTTCTGACTCCAATATTAACCAAAATGTTTATTATAACAAAAATATATATATATATATATATATATATATAAAACATCTTTTTTTTTTTTTTTTTTTTTTTTTTTTTTTTTTTTTTTTTTTTTAAGAATTTGTAAACGGTTTTTTATATCGAAGAAAAAAGGACTGTTTAAAACTACCTAATTATTTTTAAGAAATGAAATAAAAATATGAACTGGGAAAAAAAATCTTTCTTTGATACGAAAGAATTTTTTAGGAAGGCGATTATTTTAACTATCTATTGCATAATATTTTGATATATCCGTCTAATTTCACTTAAAATAATATTAATACTTACAGGCAATGCTTTATATATATATATATACACAAACCATAAAATTCTAATCATATGCTTAAAGAGACAGTAACATTAACAAAAAGGAAATTTGAAGGTTTCACCAAATTTGAGTTCCACCTTAATTACTGACAGGTAAGAAATAAAGTAAAATTTACACAATATTATGTTATTTATACATCTACATAATATTATGCATATTTATACAATTATAAATTTACGCCTTAAGAAAATTTAATTTCCTGCTAGTTATTAATAGTTACCGTAAATGAAAGGGAAAAAATGGTCATGGGAGTCTCACATCCAGTTTAACAGTTTCATTCATATTGCGCATAACAGAAAATAATGTGTGCGTCTGTATAAACATGTTTATAGAACGAGCAATAAAATAAATTCTGAAATATATGTATAGTTATAATCTTAACCATG